GGGGGCTCTGCTTGGCCGGCGAGCCGCCCCTCCGCCCCGGCTCCCTCCCGCCAGTCCGTGGAGCGCGCACCGCCTCGCCGCCCTTCCTACCCTCTTCCGTGGGCCTCTCGTCTGCGCTTGGCTCCGGCCACTCCGTTCTGCTAATCCTCTGGTGGTTTTCTGGGTTATTTAGGCAGGTGTAGGTGGAATCTAAGTGATCAGCATGACGCGCGGTGAGCCCAGCGTCCTCCTACGCCGCCATCTTCCCTCTCTCTCCTAAATTAACATTTTTAAAAGAATGTGAAAGCAAATGCTTCATATTTTACATCTTCTAAGATAATGGCTTCCTACTGAAACCGTGGCCTTCTGGAAATAAAAACTTAATTTATAGAAGTCATCATACTGTTAGAAATTTCAGTTGTGTGAATGAGGTATTTCTGTTTAAATTTCATCTGTTTCCCTCATTTATTTTCAACCCGATAACTTTATTGCTCTTTGAATTTTCAGAAATAGTTCATTCCCTTCTCTTGGGAAGAGATGTTTCCTTTAATGCCATTGCAAAAGTATGTAAATATAATACCAGTAATGTTTATGTATAAATGATTGAAAATATAAAATGAAAAAGTTACCTATGGCTGAAAATTGGTAGCATTTAAAATACAGCATGAAGAGATGATGTATTAATTCATTTTTACTATAATCCAGAAAAGCTTTAATGAAATACTAATTTGAAGTGGATTTCAACTGCCATTTGAGAGTTTGTGTGTATGTTTGTGAGATGTTAAAATGCAGACTTGGTATTGTATGTGTCTGCTGTTCATGTCTCTGGTAATGCAAGTGGACATTTCTAGCATTTTAAATATTTCATTCGATTTATCATGTAATGTACTGGAACAGTCTGCAAAGATACTCATTGTATAACACCCAATTTATTTTATTGTGCAGCACTTGGAAACTCCTGATGATATTGGCCGTTCATCAATGGAGACTGAGGTAACCCTGGACAGTTACCAAACAGCTTTAGAAGAAGTACTCTCATGGCTTCTTTCTGCTGAGGACACATTGCAAGCCCAAGGAGAGATTTCTAATGATGTAGAAGAAGTGAAAGAACAATTTCATACTCACGAGGTAAAGCAAAACGTTGATGGATGAAACCAAGCACATGACTTGTCATAATGACAAGTCCCTCTTTTTATCTCAGTTACTCTGTGAGATCCTTGTACTTTGGTAATTTAGCTTTTATTTTGAGATGGAAACAAATCAGTGTTGATGGGCGTGGGATTCCAACAGCCTGCATTTAAAGTTCTGTCTTGCAGAATGACCCTTGAAGTTGCCGAGATCTCATTTTGCCAGTGACTCATGCCAGGGATATGAGAGCCCAGCTCCCTTCTCTTGGGTCAAAGCGATGCTGAGTTAGAACAGTCACTCTGGAGGACCCATGTGGTATCAGGCTACACCGCCCTTCATGGGAGACTTTTCTTGAAGTGACACACTTAACTTGCTTTCCGCCCCTTTGCTGTCCTATTTTCTGCTACTTTGGCTCCTTTGCATGTCTTTCTGGGAGCTTTTACTTAGTACATCACTTGCATACAGATCCTTATCTCAGGATCTGCTTCTGTGGAAGGCGACATAGGCTACTAGTTGCCCTTAATTCATATTTAAAACACTATTGGGTTTTCTTAAATAAAAATTCACATCCTTTTACTGGAATATAATTTACATGGGCTACAAATTGAAAATTGCAAAAAAAATAATAAATTTCAAAACCATAATGATTTACCTAAAGCGCCCACTTTTTCACCTTCTTTTCCTGTCAGGGGTACATGATGGATTTGACATCTCATCAGGGACGAGTTGGTAATGTTCTACAACTGGGAAGTCAACTGATTGGAACAGGGAAATTATCAGAAGATGAAGAAACCGAAGTACAAGAACAAATGAATCTCCTAAATTCAAGATGGGAATGCCTCAGGGTAGCTAGCATGGAAAAACAGAGCAAGTAAGTCTTTGTTTTTAATTCCTAAAAATAGTGAGTTTTCGACTTGTATGATTACTTTGATACAGTTTCTCATTTAAGTTGGGATTCTCAGTTTGCTCCTAGAACATGTAGCTCTTTTTTAGGGCATGTTCAGATTGTATTTTCATGTCTGTTATATTTTGTTTTTCACTTTTGTGATTGATGTGGAGAGGTTGGATAGAAGAACCCTTTTCTACAGAACTCTGCTCTCAGAATTGCCAAAATTGTTGTCATAGTTAATATTTTCTAAGTTTTTTCCAAAAATTAAAATGTGACCATGGGAGGCAACAGAAATGTAAACAGGAAACCATGCATATAAAATCATCTGTTAGGCACAGTTGACAGGAAACTTCTCTTCTGAAGGAAAAGCTCTCAAAATATTAGTTTCTCATGTGTTTATGGAAATCCTCTTGAAAAAAATTACTTCTAATCTATGTTTGGAAATCCTTGTGCAAGTACTATATGGTAGTGAATTATTTTAAGAATACATATTGACTTTATCAAAAAAGAATTTTTGAGATATTTGTGAAAATGGCATGTTTCTTATAAAGGTAACAAGTAGATCTCATCATTCTGGATGTGTTGCTTTGATTTATATTGTTAGGTGTGTGTATTCATGTAGAGCCTATCGAGACAAGATAGATTTATTTTTAAATGAAAAGAAATGAAGTGCCAACTGTGGATTTGAATACATTAAGCTAAAGAAATTGTCCAAGCGCCTTAAGTTTACTTAGCTATTATTTATGAAGATTAAAAGCTTTAAACTAGGACCAAAGAAGCTCATTAGAAATGCTGGGAAGATTGCTATTTCAGTACTAAATTATAGTGTGACAATAGGGAGGGGGGAAACACATTTTTAAACTCCTGTCTTTTGAAAGAATAAATAAGGCATATGCAGGATAGAATTTTCACAAATATTGGTATTCCAAACCAGGAGATATGAGTCTCTATACATACTGACGTTTTCCCCTGATGTGCCCATTTTGATGATTGCAACTAACCCTAGAAAGTTAGAGTTACAACAGCCATATTCTAACAATTGAGTCAGTCTCATATCCATGCCCAAGGGTTGACTCATTTATTCCCCCCATTTATTATCATAAATTATAAGATACAGAACCTCTCTTACTTATGGTCGTGTCTCAACATTCTTCAGGTAGCAACTTCCTATTTTCACTGATCTGTGCAACTTAACGTAACCTCAGATAAAATTTGCTTGTCTTTAAAATCCTATGGTAGAACCACTGTCTTCTCCTTCCTGTGTTCTCTTTTCCCATTCCCTCCTGGAGGCAAAGTGCCCCCATCAAACCCTCAATCCCTTTTTAAAATTTTTTTAATGTTTATTTATTTTTGAGAGGCAGAGAGAGACAGAGTGCGAGCGGAGGAGGTGCAGTGAGAGCAGGAGACAGAATCCAAAGCAGGCTCCAGGCTCTGAGCTGACAGCGCAGAGCCCAGTGCAGGCTCTAATTCATGAACTATGAGATTATGACCCAAGCAAAGTTGGGTGCTTAACTCACTGAGCCACCCAGGTGCCCCACCAATCCCTTTTTTTAGGTAAGACTGACAATATGGCATGAAGTGTTCATGCTAATCAATTAATTACCTTTGAGACTGAGTTACAAGAAAAGGTGAATTCAACTTAAAATCCCAAATTTGTAGTCAGTTTTAAAAGCAAGGTTACTTTAAAAAATGCCTGTCTTGAAGGGATATCTACTATTAGATGATAGATAATAGCATAGATACACATACGTGGATGATAGTGCACATGCCCATATTTACACACATACACATGCACAAACATGCATACATACATATGTGTGTATGTGTGTAATTTCTTTACCCCTATCCTGCTGGAGGATGGAAAAGCTAAAATAACAACATCAGTCCTTAGCTAAGATTGACATAAAACACCAGTTTGTCCTGGGGTCCCTGGGTGGCTCAGTCAGTTAAGCATCTGACTCCTGATTTTGGCTCAGGTCATGATTTCATAGGTTCGTGAGTCCAAGCCCCACATCAGGCTCCATGCTGTAGAGCCTGCTTGGGGTCCCCCCTCCCCGTCTCTCTCCCTGCCTCCCTGCCTCTCCCCTGCTCGCTTGTGCACTCTCTCTTTCTCTCTCTCTATAAATAAATAAACTTAAAAAAAAAACATTTGTCCTGAGGGAAGATTTGGGCACTTTGGTATGTGTTTAAACACTTGGAATGATTATTAGGAAGGCAAGGGCGGCCTCTTAGCTGGCATAGTTTTTGCTAAAACATAGAGTTTTGAAAATGAGACACTAATATGGAACCACCTGTAGCACACAGTCATTTCTGGACAGTTTATTGAAATACCCATACACAAAGTATGATTTTGCAAAGCAAATCCAGAAATCTTTTGTAAGGTTGTAAAATTAAGTCTTCCATATCGCTTTCCCTAACTTTGTGTGTATTCATGCATAAAACCTATTAAAATCTAATTGAGATAAGCCATTATGCAAACCGTGCTGGACCTGATTCTTAATAGATTTTTTTGAAGGAACCAAAGAGCTAATTATGACAATAGGATATCATCAGTATTTAAAAAAATAATAATAATTCTAGGTTTTATTTCATGCTTTTATAGATTGCTACCCATTCACTTTCTATTCTCATGAGCTTTGTTGATGATGAGCTTCATAGGGAGCATCACCTATTCTTTCCAAACCTCTGCATCCTATGAAGTAGGAAGGCATGATAAATTGCTAGCAAACAAAAATGGATCAGTCTACATTTCTCATCTCTCCCTCCCATAGACAGAGTGTGGATAGACCCCATCCCAAGTTGTCATCCCTGCCTAAGCATAGATTTTGTGACGAGAGGAATGATAATTAAAGTTTGTCTGGGCATATAAGATATAACCGAAACCATGCTAGGATTCTTAAGTTGGTATCTTTTAATAAATGTAAACAACAAAACAACAAAAAAACAAACTGGGAATACATATAAGCTTATAACTATATATTACGTATATATTTATATATGTACTATAATTATACACACACACACACACACACACACACACGAAACTCTACACACACACACACAAACATAAGTATTAACAAATATTAATGGAGTACCTCAAGATATCAGATACATTTCCAGGCATTAGGGACAAAGTATTGGTCATAAGAGTTTAAGTCCCAGATCTCCTTTAGCTCTAGAGAGGCTGTTAAAACAAGAATCCAAGAGGGACACCTGAGTAACTCGGTTAAACTGCAGACTCTTGAATTCACCTCAGGTCATGATCTCATGGTTCATGAGATCAAGCCCCACATAAGGCTCCATGCTGACAGTGCACGGAGCCTGCCTCTGATTTTCTCTGTCCCTCTCTGTCTGCCCCTCCCTCACTTGCACTTACTCTCTCTCAAAATAAATAAGTAAACTTTTAAAAATTCTTTAAAAAAAATAGAAAGAAAGAAAGAACCCAAGAGAAAGGTACCTGAATGCTTGGTTAAATGTCTGACTCTTGGTTTTGGCTCAGGCCATGATCTTACATTTCATGAGTTTGAGCCCACATTGGGTTCTGTACTGGCAGGACAGAGCCTGCTTGGGATTCTTTCTCTTTCTCCCTCTTTCTCTGACCCTCCCCTGCTTGTGTATGCTTTCTCTTTATCTCTCTTTCTCAAAAAAAAAAAATGAATCAACATTAAATTTTTTTTTAAAAAAATGAACCCCAGAGGATGAAAGGTGGGAGAAGCACCTCCATATCACAGCGCCTTTTAATATCCTCAGAAAACTTACTCCTAGCTGATATTTAGTGTTTGTGATCCAAGAATGTTATTTCTGGGGTGTTAACCATTTAATTTGAATTTGAATGACAAGAAGGAACTACCATTTGTTAACCAGGAGAGTAACATTTCAGGCAGAGGGAACAGCCAATGCAAAGGCACTAAAATAGGAACAACCGGCTTGTTAGAGGGAGCGAGGATCAGCATGAGTGGAAAATTGCAGGAGGGAAGGTTAGGTAGTGGAGGTATGAGACAGGGTTAAAAGAGAGGTAAGGGTCCCCTCTTGTATGGTGGTGTTAGGGTAAGAGAAAAGGGCTTTGGAGTTCTATTGGAAGTGCAAGTGTTCCAGGATTTTTTTTTTTACCTCAGTACCTGGAATTCATCGTCTCACCGCTTGGAAGAATGAAGAGGTGGACACAAAATGAACAGCAGGCAAAGTTTATTGGAGTATGAGATCAGAAAGTGAGAATAGTATGAAAGCTCTCTTTGCAGAGATGGGGCATTTAAAAGTGAATACCCCCCACTATAGGCAAGGGTCTTTGTTTTATAAGGTTCTGGTTGCCCCCTCTTTCCCTTCTCCCTTGTTCCTTCTCAGGTTCTACCCTCCCTGGCTTCATAACTCTACGTGCTGGGTCCTCCATTCATGATTGGCTCCATTCCATTGCGTGAGGAATCAGACTAGGGTCATACTGTCCCTCTTATAGCATAAGCTTTATGCTTTTACTTATTTTAGTTAGATATTTTGATTGTCAGATTACTGAGGGGAACCTGAGGGGGAGTAGGTGGTGTCTGTTACATTCTGAAGAGGAACCTTATGTCCAAGGGGGTTTGCCGTGACGCTCCCAGCACCATTCCAAAAATCTGTGTTTTTCCCCACCAAGGGACCTCAGGTCCCAACGTTTCCCTCTCTGCCAATTTGATCCTATCTTTCCCTATCATACAAGAAAAAGCCACCAGAATGTTTTAAGTAGGGGTGAGACAGGTAAAGAACATCTCATCCTGGAAGAGGAAAGGGCAGTTATAAGGTCACTGCAGTAACCCAAGTAAAAAATGACAGGTCTTATGCCAGGTGGTAGTTGTGGTATACCACGAGTCTATTCTGTTATTTTAGCCCAACAGTTAATTTATAAACTATTCCTGCTATACTTAGTTTTGTTATTTTTTGGCCTTTTTAACAGTCAGGATCCTTTCTTTTTAAGTTTAATTTATTTTAAGAAAGATACACAGAGCAAGCTG